TCCAACTGCCTGGCACTGATGTTAATGCCTTGCTTCCTAATCAATCAAGTCTGCTGCATGCTTCCTTAAAGGAAAACTGTTCATGTTGTTCAGCCCAATGACACGGACTTTCACAGGTGTAAAAAAAATTTGTCACCAAAGATGACACTGGTGTGGGAAGCGAAGGTGAAAATTTATCCTGTTTGGCATCTCTGAGCCCATCCTGTGGGCAGTTCTGTTTCATAAGGCTGACTGTGAGCCACAGACTTTGTAGCTCAGTTTCCATCTGACGTGAATATCTTGATTGTAGAAAGAACTCTGGGAATATGAAGAAGAGGTTACATGTGTGTAGTAGGGGCAGAACTTGCCTTTGCTTACTCCACTAATGAAAGAGTGGTTTCAGGAAGCAGGAGGGCAGCCCTGAGCTGCCAGGCTGATGGCTGAACTGGAGCTCTAATTGCTGACACTCCTCTGTGCCTGTCCTAAAACTGCCTGTCCTAAAACTGTAGAGCTGATTTAACAGCCATTCTCCTGAGCAAGCTGTCATCCCTTCCTGGAGAACATCTCACATCTCATGCAGCCTGTGTTATCTGAGGAAGTTGTAGTAAGTCTCTGATGTTGGTTAACTCCTGAAGCTGTGCTTGGGCATGGGAGGAATGACAAGATCAGCTCAGCATAAGTGGGTTCTACCAGCATAATCACAAGTTCTCATATCCCTTTAGATGTGTTGTGTCCTGCTGCAGACAACCATTGTGTGTCACTTTGAGCAGTCAAATGTCAGCTCCAGCCTGGCACAAATCAGCACTAATTGTGATATACCCAAACTTCTGCAAGTGTAGGATGAAAGGATCCCAAAGAAGATCATAAACTTGATCCCTGATGTGTCTTGTTTTCCAGCAGGAGAAGCTGCAGGGCCACAGCAGTGGGCTGATCAGATGGCTCTCAGAGTGGGTAGAAGGAGCCCAAGCAGCAGTGGAGGATGTTGCAGCAGCAGGTATGAGACATGTCTGGTATAGCTGTAGTTTTGAGTCCCTTGCCTGGTCTGAATTGGTTGATTGGCTTGCCCTCCTTGTATTCCATTCCATGCTCTGTTGGCAGAGCTGGCCTTCAGTGATTACTTTTAAGTGCACTCTTTCCTGCTGGTGTATTGATGATTCATACTATTAGGAGAAGCTTCTGCCTTGCCATGCCTTAGTGAAAATGATATATTTTATAATGTCTCCTTACTCCTAGCAGGGCTTATGCTCTGTTCCCAAAACTCCCACTGTTTTCACTGCAGGCATGACCAGACTGTGAAATAGCTTGGCTGGTCTGGTGAATAATCTGTTAGTCTCTTTTAATAAACTGCAGTTTTATTTGTCTTGCTGCTCTTTAGAGCTTTTCTATCTCAAAACATTCGAGTACAGAAACTGCCCAGCAGTGAAACGCAGCCATCTCTCTTGGGGATAGAGTGGGAGGCAGACAGGCATTTTACTCCACAGTGCAGAGTGAGAGGAATTTTGTTCAAGGACAATGAGGGAAAGCTTAGCTTGTGTGCTGAATGACCCTTTGATCTTCCACGTTCATGCTCAGCTGATCAGGACTTTAAATCTAAGCTCTGTCTCCCTCCTACCCATAGCAAACAGCCAGAAATATAATCTCATTTAGGACTTGAGCACTGGACCAGAATGACAGGACTGCAGTGGCAACTGGTCAGCCTCACGTGTCCTGTTTGCCTGTCACTTCCTCAAGTGACACTGACATAGAGCTGAAGAATGGGGGGTAGCTGTTCTGCAGTGCGTAGCACTCAGGTGTCCAATAGGAAGGGAAGGCCAGCTACACAAACAGTCTCCTGAAAACACTGAGGGACAGGGCAGCACAGGAGCATTAGAAGGTGACTTTCAGGAATGTGCCTAATAGGTCAGTCCAGAGCCATGAGATGGATTTGATCACTGGGAAGCTTTGTGGTGGTTGCTCGTTGTTTGCTGTGCTTTCTGAGGCGCTCAGAAGAGTTCCCTGGTGTGTGGTAGCTCAGCTCTCTTATGCCAGGAGAAAGCCACAGCAAAAGCAAAGGAAATGAGCAGGCAGAGGATTAGGAGCAGTTGGATCCTTCATGTGCAGCCCTTGAGCAGTTGTAAAAAATGGTGTTACTCCTACTATTATGCAGCACATCACTGGGAGCCTGAACTACAGGGAGGTGACTGCAGTGTGTAGGCCAGAGTGGAGTCTGGAGGACTTCAGTTTTCTCTCACTTTCTCCCTGGTGTGTGTCTGTGAGGAAGGTTACAGAAAGGCTGTTCTTCTTGCAGATAAACTTGGCTGGCTGATAATGTGCAACTCAGCTGAGCTGGAATGGCTGTAGCCCATTTGATAGGTGACAGTTGGTGCTTTCCTGCCTCTTCCTACATACTACAGCAAAATGTGTGGGTTTAAACCATTTGGTGAAAGCAAAACTTGGGCTTGAGGCAGAGTGGCGCTTAGTTTAGGTTGTGATAAACCACTTAGTTACAGTATTCCTTTGCTGTGTTTGTAGCATGAGGTGTGATGAGAACAGACACAGCTCTGTGGCCTCCATTATGCTAACCCAGAGCAGCACAGAGGAGGAGTGGGTTCCAGCTGTGGGTATTGGGTTCCAGTTGCAGAGCCTTAAAAAGGCAGAGAAACTGAAAGGTGAATTTGAATTTCTAGGTTGGAAGGACTCTGAAGGGTTCCTCAAAAAACTACTGTGGACCTTGGTAAGGAAGTGCTTTCAGGAGGAGTGGTGTTGCTGTGAAGAAATGTCTGTATTTGGGTGGCAGGAGGGTTTTGGAGATCACCAGGGTATGGTTTTACCTTGTTGCTACAGTGGGAGCTGGGATGGGAAGAACTTTGAGGAGAGGAGACACTCGAGGACCCTTTGAATGAGGCATTTTAGGTTGTAAGGTTAAATGACCAGAGCAATACTTGACCTGTCCTCAGGGGAATGCTGGTAACTGAGAAAGGGATATACCCTAACACTTGGTGTTCTGAAATGTTCCCTAGCTTAGCACAGTCCTGAGCAGGGATCATTGTGCCTCCTTGTGTGACTGGGTTTCCATCTTATCAGAGATCTCACAGCTCTCCTTGCTGGAAGAGATAAGGATGATTAGTTCCATGGTGGCATCTTATTTGTTTACTGAGCTCTCATAAACGAAGCTGTGCTTTCTGTGGTCTCTCTGCTCTGTCAGGAGGTACCTCCTGTCTTTTCCTTCAGTAGCTGCAGTGTTGCACTATGCACCACCTCTTCCCCGCAGGGTGTTTCTAGAAGCAAGGAGGTAGCACTGTCCTCTTCCCCTCTGTTCCCTGATGACACGCAAATAGAAGCAGCCTGGTGAGCAGAGGTACTGGAAGATGATGGGGAGCGCTGCTCTGCAGTGATAGTCCTGTTGCCTGCTGCTGCCACCACCTCTCCTCTCCAGACAGCTTGGCATGAAGCCCGGGCTGCTTTGCTACCTCATGCCTTTCCCCCTCTTGTTATCGAGCCATGCCACAGCTTCCCAGGCTCCTGGGTTAGAGAGATCAGCCTCACCCCTTTGCACTTGGGCAGATGCTTCCTTCAGCCTGCATAACTGTGTCCATCTGGATGCAGAATGTAGGCCTGGACCCACAGCAGATAGAGTCTGCTTGTAAATGAAGTGCGGATATGGGAGTGGAAAGGGTGAAACCCAATGACCTTTGAGTTGTTCAGCTTGGAGAAGAGAAGGCTCCTGAAGGGGAGACCTTAGAGCAGCTCCAGTGCCTAAAGGGGCTGCAGGAAACCTGGAGAGGGGCTTGGGACAAGGGCCTGTAGGGACAGGGCAAGGGGAATGGATTTAACCTGCCAGAGGGGAGACTGAGATGAGCTCTTAGGCAGAAGTCAGGGTGCTGAGGTGCTGGCACAGGGTGCCCAGAGAAGCTGTGGCTGCCCCATCCCTGGCAGTGTTCAAGGCCAGGTTGGACACAGGGGCTTGGAGCAAGCTGCTCCAGTGGAAGGGGTCCCTACCTGTGGCAGGGGTTGAAGTTGGATGATCTTCAAGGTCCCTTCCAACACAAACCAGTCTGGGATTCCTATGACCCTGGGAGTGGGCTGCGTGGAGTCGTGTCCTTGATCTGAGATACAGAAGGGAGGAGCAGGATCAATCCTGCCCTGTCCAGCTCCACCAGCCCCCTGTGCCTGCATCTGCCCCAGCTTCTGCTGCGCACCAGCACCGAAAACGCACCTGCAGCATCCTGCTTTCTGTGCCTTTCCCAGTTACTTGTTTCTTTACACTCAGCTGGGAGGGGTTGCAGCGGGACAAGGTTGGATGTGGGATGCCTGCGGGGGACGCACGGCTGGAAGCTCACTCAGCACTAAAACCTCCATTAGGGCTTTCCACACGGGTTGTTGTGGTTTAAAGGCAATGAGCAGCCGCTGGGCTCGGAGCCGAGCTCCGCGTGGGAAAAGCCCCGGGAAAGCCCTCGGCCCCTTCCAGGCAGCGAGGGCTGGAGGCGGGGGGGGGGCAGCGCTGTGAGCGCGCTTGGGTTTCAGCTTCCTCCCGCCCCTCGCTTTTTTCTCTGTGTTCGGCCCGGCCTCGCTGCGGGGGGAGCCCGGTTCGCTGCCCCCGGGCTGCAAAGGGCCGGGCCGGGGCCGGGGCCGGGGCCGCGGGACGGAGAACACCAACACCAGCGGGGTTTAGAGGAGCCTTGCGATTGGTTGATCCGCAGCGGGGTGGGCGTTACCCGCCAATCCGCTCTTGCGATTGGTTCTTCCGCAGCTGCGGGGTGGGAACGGCTTGAGCCTCTCCTCTCTCCTTGATTGGCTCTGGCGTGATGAGCGACGCCTCTTTAGGCTGTCTGCATTTTTGATTGGCTATCGTGACAGCGCGTGCGGGGGCGGAGCCTTCAAAGCGCTTTCATTGGCTTCCGCTAAGGAGGGCGGGGCGTGTGGCTGCGGGCAGCCAGTGACCGTCGGGCTCGCCCCGTTGGCCCCGCCTACCCCTGGAGGGCTGATAAGCGGCGGCGGTGGCGGTACGAGGGGCCCAGACCGGCGGCGAGCGGCTATGGCGGGGGCGGGAGCGAGCGGCTGCCGCGGCGGGGCCGGGGGGCTCCAGCCGCTCCGCGCCACGGTCCCCTTCCAGCTGCAGCAGCGCCGCGGCGACGGGGGCCGAGCAGGTAACGGCGGGGCCCGGGGTTTGGCTCCGGAGCAGCACCGGGAGCCGGTTCGCGTCGCGGCTGCTCCTGGTGCGACTCGCGGGCGGGGTGTGAGGGGAGGAGGGCGAGGATGAACTGGCTCGATCGCAGCACCCGGGGCCCGATGCGATTAGTACGGCGTGCGCGGGGTTGGTGCTGTACGGAGAGAAGTGAAAGCTGGGAGAACAGGGAGCGGGGCACGCACCGGAGCGGGGGGGTTCGACGCTAGGGCCGGTGAGCGAAGGGAGTCCTCGCGGGCAGGACGTGTCGGTGCTTGCAGGCGACCGCGAGTTGCCTGTTTGGATGTCGTTCCCCCCCTAAGAAAAGCACCCAAGTCCTGCGTGTGATGCTGCTGACCCGGCTTGACAAAGAACAGCAATTGGTTGTGCGCTGATGGCAGTGGGTCCCTAATTGCAGTACTGAGAGTTTTCTGACCGCTGCAGGGATGCCCATTGAAATGCAACTGTTGGGTGACCTAATCACAGTCTTTGCCTTTTCTTCCTGTGTGTGACTTGTGGCTGTTGGTGGGAGGGATGCTGGGTTCGTGCTTGGCTGTTTGCTCTCTCCAGAAGTATTAAAATAATAGTGAAACACATTTTGGGGCTTAAATACAAGATTAAGCAGACTCATGGGGCCAGAGGGGACAGTCAGTCCACCTTTGGCCAGCTGATCTTTGTGGCATTCAGAGTGCTCGTCTCTTGCTTAAAGCAGCAGGTCTTTAATCTGCTTTGCAGAGGCCAGACCTCATCCTGCAATGAGAATTGATGGCCCTGAAGTGTCCTGTGTTTCCCTACTTGAGACTTGGAGTCATTCCTGCCCCTGGCAGGGTTTGTATTGATCAGAGGAGCTATTAAAAAGCATTTGGCTCCATTTCCATTTGAAACAAGTTAATGAAATACATTTTTTGGAGTGCTGGTGAATCCTTTCCTCAGCACTGCTGAGCTGGAGGTGAAGCTGCACTTAATGGGGCAATTACTCAGTAGCTTCTGATGTTATAAAGAAAAGAGAGGAAATCTCAAAGCCTGCGGGCTCCTGCTTGCGTTGGAGCCCTGCAGTTTACCTGCAGCTTTCTGAGGGCAGAGCAGCTGGAGCTCTGCTGCCACGAGCCAGAATTGCTGCTCTTCATTTCTTCCTGGCTCTGTGCCTCCTGTTCAGGCTCGAGGAGCAGGATTTCTCCTCAATCACAGTCATTTCATCCAGAGTTTTGGAAGTGTTCACATTTCCATTGCCTTCTCGCTCTTTGTAAGCTCCACTTTGCTGCCTGCCTGTGTGGGAGCTGGAGCAGTAAACTGGCAGTGTTTAACCAAAACCTGGTGTCCTGGTGAGTCATCATCTGACACTTTTCCTCCTACCTTTTGGGAGCCCAGCATGGAAATCTATTGCTTTAGCACCTCTTTCTTCACTTGACTGCTGATTTTCCGGATTGCTCTGGAGCTCTGTGCTGCTGGAGTGGGCTTTTGGAAGAAGAGGTGCAGAGTGAGCTGGGTCTGATCCTGCAGCTGCTCTGATCATAGAGGATCCCATTGAGATGAGGAGCAGCTGCTGGGGCTCTCAAAGGGCTTCTGTTCCAAGGAAGAGCTGGGGGATGCCAGGAAGGAGGCCTAAGAATACTTTAAGACTTGCTGTTTAGTGATCCAGGCTGGCAGGACTTGTGGTGATGGTTGTCACTGGGGTCAGCGTCTGGGGTTCTTTTCATTCCTTCTCTCTTTAGTGATGCAGCCTTAGGTGGTGAAGCAGGTAATGTGTTTGTGTTTGAACCTCTTCAGGTGCAGGCCAGGCCCATCCCTGTTTCATTCATCATTCTGCCAGCTTAGGTGGCTGCAGGCAGCTGCTGGGGTAGCTGGAGCCCTGTGCCTGCTCTAACACTGCTGAGGTTCCATGTTCTCTGGGCTGGGATGAGCTTTGTGGGGTAATAGCAGTGCTTGTGCTGTTTGCAGCCAGTTTGAGCTGTCCCTGGCATGGCAGAATGCTCCAGAGGAACCAGGAAGCCGCCAGGTAATTTACCCTGGGTAGGTTTTTATTTCATAGAATCCTGGACTGGTTTGGGTTGGAAGGGACCTTAAAGCTCATCCACCAAAGCAGCTTGTTCCAAGCCCCATCCAACCTGGCCTTGAACACTTTGTGACCCTTTCTTTCAGCTGGGGTTGCCCAATGCAGCTGCATGGACCAGAGCAAAGGTTTCCCCATGATGGGGAGTGGAGAACTGGAGGAACCCACTTGTGCAGATAAGTGGTTCTGTTCCAGGTGTAGTGAGCCCTACACTGCCTGACTGCTCACTGGGAAACCAACCCGCAGTGCTTGGCCTAGCCCTGGCAGAGGAGTGATGTTGAGCACCACAGTGCAATGAGCTCTCTGTGTGCGGAGCTTGGATGGTGAAATCCTGGGTAAGTGGCAGCGCTGGCTGCACTGAGCTGATCTTGGCACTTCCCTTGTGGCTCCTGCAGCTGAAGGTGAGAGCCCTGGGTTAGTGGGATTCCCAGTTGGACAAGAAAGGTTTCCAAGAAAGACCAATAAATTTCCTCTTGGAATTTGTGTTAAACAGGCTTTTTTTGCATTAAAAATGAAACTTGTGGTGCTGCCATTGAAACCACCTGATGATGTGGGCTTGGCTCTCCAGGAAATGAGGGCAATCTCAAAGGAGATTGTGTGGTTGGTAAATAACGGGAGAGAATGGTTTCCATGCTTGCCTGAAACCTGCTGCATGACTCTGGGCAAGCTGTTGCTCCTCCCTGTGCCTCAGTTTCTCCTCCTTTCAGGCTGGAAGCATTCAGGAACAGCAGTAATGGAGTTTGTACGGTTCCTGCCATACTTGAGCCTGAGGCTGCTCTGTGAAACTCTTGCATGCATAATGCTGTTGTGCTTACACTCTTTAGGCTAGTTGTAACACTGAGCTTCTGTTAGCTTTGGTGTCCTGCTCCCCAGTTAGAAGAGGCAGCGGGAAGGTGAGCAGAAGGTCTATCACATGTGATGCTTCTCTTGCTGTTGTTTCAGGAGCTTCTTATGGGCACTGGCTCCAGGCAGATGGCTTTACTGCAACCAGCCAGGAAGAGAACTGGGAGGAGTGCTTGTCATCCAGTGTTAATGTGATTTATATAGCTCTGTCTGTGTGAGGGACAGGAAACCTTCATTTTCCTTGTTTCCCACCTTTGTAACTGTAGAAATACCAAAGAGGTCTTATTCAGTTTTCATTTGACTTTGTCTTATCTCTACTGGAAGATTTCCAAGGCCTTGACAATCAAAGGTTTCTAATTCTCAGAGTGAGAGCCCTGCCTTCTGCAGTCATCCCGATGCCCAGATGCTGATTTAAGCAGGGTTAACAAAAAAGGGGGAAAAAACCCAACCCACAGCTCCACATTCATTGCTTGGGTTTCACTCTTCTGATAGAGGTGGCATGGATGAGCCTGGCAGCGACTTAGTCATCTGTGTGCTCCAGGAGCAGAGTGAGCAAGTCCTAAAGATCTAATGTGAACAAGTTTTTGCTTGTTTCTAGACCAGTCTCTTGCTCATGAGAAGCTGCTGCCCATCTGCTTGCTTTTTCCTAGTTCTTACTTCAATGTCATTGTGCAAACCAGTCCAGAAGCACGCCCAGCCCGTCAGTGGGTGAGAGATGGGCTTGAAGGTCCCACCAAAGCAGTGTCTTGCATCAGGCTTGCTTGAGGAGCTGTGCACTTCAACCTCAGGCCTTGAGGATGTTGAAATTCCTCAGATGATTTTCTCATTTGAAAAACAAACTTTGAAAGCCTGAAGTTAAAGGTGAAGAGTTCAGCTCTTTTCCTCCATCACTTCAGGCTTGGAGCTGTATTGGAGGGATATGCTCTTCAACAGCGACTGCATCCAAAACCTCAAAAGACAGCTTGAACTGCTGGTGTCCCCTCAGTTCCCTTCAATGCTATCTGCAGATGCTGTGGCCTTTGGGCAGCTCTTTCCAGCTGGACTCAACACAGCCTGGAACCAGGGGAGTGATTACAAAGCCTGGAATTGCTTCCTTTGTGCTCCAGGGCCAGTTGTGAAGCCCTTGGGGCTGGTTCAGCAAAGCTCATGGGGCAGGTTCCTGCTGGGTTGAATCAGAAGGGGCTCCAGCTCCAAAACCTGCTGTAGGACCCTCTTTGCCCCTGGGGTGTCCCGCTCGGTGGGGGGCTCCTTTCTGTGCCAGTCAAGAGCTGAAGCAGAGAAAGGTTCTCATGGGGTTTCTTAGAGGACTGTACTTGGGAAGAGCAGGTACTTTCTGGGGCAGTTTGGGCTCTGGGTGTGTGTGGTTTGGGCAAGAGGCAGGAGGGGCAGACCCTGTGGTTCAACCACAGCTTCTGCCTCTCCACCGGAAGGTGCAGTGGATTTCAGCATGCTGAGGGCCTTGTTTCTGTGGTACAGTTGACTCAAAGCAGCAAAGAGCTGTGAAATCCCATCCTGGCATGGGTGGGAGTTTCCTTTCAGTTGTAAATCTGCTTTAAGAGCAAAGGGTTTGTGAGTTTAAAATATGGAGAGGGAGAGAGGTGTCGAATGTGTCCCTTGCAGAGAGCTGGAGCTTGGAGCAGCCTGGTCTGGTTGAGGTGTCGCTGCCTTTGGTGGGGCTTTTGTGCAGACCCCTTAGTGCCTTGTTTGTCCTTTGGTGCCTCGAGTAAGCACGTTCTGCAGGCTACTGATCTCCTCATTGCTGGTTAAAGCTTGAGCTCTCCCCCTTGCCTCCTCTCCTTACAAAGACCTGCCTGTAGCTGGCTCTGTGGATCTTTTCCTCTCCAGCTTCTGTGACCTTCCCTCCCAGCACCCTTCCAGCTCTTGATCTTGCCTTTGTTTCTCTCTTGGGAGTTAGCTCTGACCATGCCATGAATTCCTGTGAAATGCTTCTCTGTTTCCCAGAGCATCTGCAGATTCCTGCAGTGTTCAAACCAGGATTTAACATTTCATTAAGAACAAGGAAAGCAGCCCCTTCTTCTCTTTCAGGGGCTTTCTGGGATTCCCAGAGGAAAAGCTTTTATTTCTTGCCTAATCCTGCCTTGCTTTCAGGTGATGTGATAGGTAAGGTCCTCTTGGGGAATGAAGGAGCAGCAGTGCTTTGGTGTGCCACCAGGAAGTGCCTGGGGTGACTGCAGTGGATGGGTTCCCCCATCTTCACATTCCCTTTTAGCGTGGAGAGAGGCACAATGCTGGGAAAGGCAATTCTTTCCCTGTGAAGACTGACAGTCTTTGCTCTGGTAAAGATCAAAACTGCTCAACTGCAGGGAAACTGCAGCAAGGTTTAAATGAGTTCTAATGGTGGAGCTTCAGTTCTGATCTTGGTTTCACTCCCACTTCTGCTGCTTGGGAACGCCTGGGTGAAGTGGGTTTGGGCCTCAGAAGAGAGGTTTGCTGATCAGGTACCCTTGTGCAGGGTGAGGTGAGGTGGGATTCTCTGTTAACATCCTCTGCAGGTCCTGCCTGTGTCTGCTCCAGTTACATCTGAAGACCAGGAGAGGAGAAGGGAAGCTGCTGGATTTCTTGCTGTGGCTCATCCTCACCTCCTGCTCTGCCTGCTCAGATGCTGTGGTCAAGACCTGCTCTACTCCCGAGCTGTGGGTTTGAGCCATGACTCAGGGAGCAGAACAGTTCTGAAGATGTACATAGGGTGCTTTTAGTGCTCTGCCATGGTAGGAAGGATTTCCTTTCCACTGATGGAGCTGCTGCCCTGGTGACCACCACAGCAATGCCAACATTTCTTGTGCCACCTGAACTGTGTCTGAGTGGCTGCTATGCAACAAGAAAGTGCTTTGTACAGAGATCTGCAGGCAGGTAGTGCGGGAGGATGTGGCAGATGCAGGGAGCGGTGCTGGGGTGCAGTGGGGGACACTGACACCCACCTAGCTGCCTGGTTTGATGGAGATACTTTATCTAAAAGTAAAGTTGCTGGCACAAGGTCCTGCTGTGATCGTAAAAATTAAACTTAGGCCTTTGTTATCTCACAGCACCCAAAACTGGGGGCATCGTCTGAGTAAGATGTGTTAGAGCAAGAGAAGACGAGGCTTTAGACTGGGGAAGCTGACGCTTACGTGAAAGTACTAACATAGTAATCTCTGTTCCACTGGGGTGGCAGATACACAAGTTACTGACAGAGCTGCTTTGCTTCCATCCTGGCATGGCTCTCCCTGCCACATCCAATAACCCAAACCCTACATGCAAACCCATTTGGTACACCTGGATATTGCAGAATGCAGGGCAAGCTTCCCTCTGTGGCAAGGCTCTGCCCCTTGCTCTCTGGTTAACTGGGAAGCTGCTGATATTTAAACATAGACTGTTTTTGTGCTTCCTCACTTGAAGATAGAGCTTTGCAGGGATGTACTCCAGAACTATCGGGCTCGGAACAACGTGTCCCTGAGTTTCTGACATTGAAGGTTCTGTTTCCCCAGGGTGAAATCTGCAGAAGGAAGGAAGAGCATTTTACAACTCCAAGTAGTAAGGGGAACTTTAGTTTTGCTTGCCGTCATTGTCTGGTCCAGCTGTCAGTATTCCTTAGTGAAAAGTGACCCTAGGAGTTGCATTATGTTTACTGCAGACTCCTGTTTTCTCCTAGATGCAGAGATTGGCTCTAGAGAGACTGAGGCATCTCTGAGCTCACTGCTGCTGTGGCTGGGACAGACCAGGGACACTGCACATCTGAAGACTTCCTACTTTGCACCAGCCTAACTTGTGCCTGTACAAAAGCCCCGTGCAGTGTTTGGAGGCAGCCAAATGGCTCCGGGGGATAGGGCTGTTATCTGCAGCAGCTTCACTGTCACAGGGGAAGGAACAGCTCCACAACCTGACACTTCTCAGCTGTGGAGCTGGCCTGGACCAATTCCAGAGCTTGTGGCTAGGTGGCAGCTCTGCAGGCTCGGTGCACAGGGATGATAATAGCACAGGGACTGTAAACAGGACACTCCACCCTGCCTCAGTGCCCCAGGCCCTGTGCAGGCAGCCTCTGCACCCAGCAGCACCCTGCCCTTCCCTGGGCTGTTCAGTGGCAGAGCTCTGTGGAAAGGAGCAGCAGTTGCTGCTGTTCATGCATCAATAGATTTAGATGGTGGTCAGCCATCACACAGTTGTCACTGTAGGAGGCCATGTCTCCTCTGCTCTCAGCCATAGAATCAGCTATGCTGGAAAAGGCCCTCAAGATGAAGTCCACCACTAAACCATATCAGTTGTCTGTTCTTGAGACCTTTCAGGCTGGTTTTGCCCACATTGCCCATGTTGGAGGCTTGGAGTACAAAGGTGACCCCAGTCACTCGGGATGTTCTGGTTATATCAGAGAGCTTTTGGGGGCCATGGACTGTCAGAGCAGCGTGGGATGAGGCTGCCCTGCTGGAGGAGGGTTCAGTTCCCCTGAGCAGCAAGAGAGGAAGAGACAGATGCAGTCACATGTAATGGAGGTGCAAGTGACTTTGCATGTGTGGGCAATGAGGCATTGAAGAGGAAGCCACAGACACTCATGGGTTTCTAAACTGGAGCTCGTGGCACTTGCTGTTAACTGTTGGGAACAGGGAGCATGCCTGGAACTGCACAATGAGCCTTTAATCCAGCATAGCCCTTGCGAGGTGTGGCTGTGCAGGGCCTGATGCTTCTCTTGCTCTTCCATGTGGCTTTTTGTTCCTGCCCTTTTCTCACCTAGAGCTCGAATTCCACTGCTCAAAAATGTGATTTTTAGCTGATGAAAAAGATATATTCACCAGACCATGTCCCTGGAACAGCCTCAGCTGGGGGCTGCAGCACCTTTGTATACAGAGGTATTTGGCAAACACAACAGAGTGTTTTAACAGTTTCAAGGCTGAGTTTAATGTGGTTTAACTCCCTCCCTGCCTGTTCTGCCTGAAGGGACAGGCCAAGGGGAATGGCTTTAACCTGCCAGAGGGGAGACTGAGATGAGCTCTTAGGCAGAAGCTCTTCCCTGTGAGGGTGCTGAGGCGCTGGCACAGGGTGCCCAGAGAAGCTGTGGCTGCCCCATCCCTGGCAATGTTCAAGGCCAGGTTGGACACAGGGGCTTGGAGCAAGCTGCTCTAGTGGAAGGTGTCCCTGCCTGTGGCAGGGGTTGGAGCTGGAGGAGCTTTAAGGTCCGTTCTGACCCAAACCAGGCTGGGATTCGCCAGGCTGTATGGGCCAGTTCCCTTGTGATCATTGTAATGGATGTGGGCCTGTTAATTGTGACACTGCTGGTGCTGAGCCTTGGCTTTGGAAGTCTCATGTTCTTTCCTTTCCCCCTGTGCAGCCAGCGTTCCCTGTGCTGCTGCTGTGGAGAAGAGCTGCCGTCCCCAGCAGCCCCGTGTGCGGCGCACCTCCTCACTGGACACCATAGTAGGCTCCTACCTGCTGGGACAGTGGCCTCGGGATGCTGAAGGAGCTTCCACCTCATGCATGAATGACAAAGCTACCCAGGTAAAAACACCAGACTGCCCTTGAGGTCTGTGGCTCAGGAGAGGGTTGCAGGACTGCAGTGAGCTGTAAACGGGGGTGAACGGGGAAGACACTAAACTTCCACCCATCCAGCTGCAGCTTTCTAGGAAGGCTTTTTCCCCCCTTTTGCTTCCCAACTTCACTTGATCCCACTTTGATGCAGAGTTAGCATTTCCTTGGCCTTGTTTGGAGGCAGATGGCCTCTGGCTCCCTTCTCCAGCACTGGCTCGATGCTACTTTAGTGTTTCCTGGCTTGCTGTCCTGGGCCAAGTCCTTATATAAACCTCTTGGGCTGTGTGCCACACACCGCAAGGAGTCAGGGGTGCTCCCAGCACAGGCTCGCTGGCACAGGCAGCTCTGCTGGAGGATGGAAGAGCTCCAGTCCTCGAGGAACTCTTAGCAACCTGTAAATATTACTGTATGGCAGCAAATAGTGCCATATCTGCAGAGGTGGAGGAATTCGGGAGGATAAGGGCATCCGTTTGCTCAACGAGTGGTTTATTCAGCACATTGAGCCTCTGTGAACTCCCTGTTTGAGCTTTGCTAGTCAACAATGTATTGCTGGGCTGTTTGCAGGAAATTCTCCCTTGGATTCCAACTTCCATTGTCCCTTTCCAAAGTATTTGTGCCTGCTTTTGTTCCAGTTCTAGTGCCCAGGAGCTCTGCTGAGGGCAGAGGCCATGCTGGAAAGGAAGGGAAAGAATTTGCCTGTTGATTCCTAGGCAGGGAAGCACACTCTGCCTTTCTGGCCTTATCACATGCTGGGAACACTTAACCCCAGTGCTTTGGGGCTAATGAGTTTGTCTTGCACATAGCCATGGTTTGGGGAATAGGTTGGAGAAGAGGGACACCTTCTTCTTCCTGGAATGGAAGCCATTACTATGTTAATTCCTATGTGAGCATGGAGCTGAGCACTCCTGGCAGTGAATAGGTGCTGCAGCCTTTCAGCATTATCTGCAGGAGGCTTGCAAATGGCAGTTTCACGTTGCACAATGCCTGTGAAATGAGCACTGATCTCCAGTGCTTCACACACAAACCCCAATGTGTGGCAAAGGACTTGGCTGGTGATAGCTGGGAATGAAGTCCTGGGTCCGGCCTGCCCTGCACCTCCTCCTCATAACCCTGGCACTTTGCTGCTCCTGCCCTGTTCTGAGGCTCAGGAGTTCCCAAACCTGGGACTGTGTCATCAGCACACGTTCGTCTCCTTACAGCTCCTGATGAGCTCTTCTGCAGTGCTCTGTCCGGTTGCTGTCATGGGGTGGGTGAGAGGTGCAGATGCTCAATGTGGGGCTGAGGGTGCCAGCACTGCACAGGGTCAGAGCCCACGGCTTTCTGGTGCTGTGCAAAGCACTTTGTTCTCTCTCCTGTCTCTGAGGAAGCGGTTTTGTCACAGTGCAAAAGGTTCTGTAATTTCCTTCTGCCCTGACAGGGCCTGCAGAGGTGGGACGTGTCTGCCCCCTCCGCTCTCAGGCCTTTCTCTTGCAAGCAGCAGGTTTTTTCCTTTTTAGGCCTGAGTTTTCTTGTGAGCCCCAGTGCTCGGGTGTCCCAGCCATAGGCTGCAGTAAGTGACAAGCAGGGCTCAGGAGGCTTCTGTTGACTTGAGGGCAGTTTCTGTCCCGTCCTGCAAGGCAGGGCTGTGCCTGGCAGCTGGAGTTCAGCTTCCCACACACTTGCTTCTTGCGGTGACATGGGACAGGGCTGTGGTCTCGTCCCTTAGACCTGTGCCTCTCGTCCTTATGTGTGTGATCCCCTGGGACACACAGTGACACAATGCTTTGGGATAACGGCCCATGGTGTTTGAGTTGTTTAGGGGAGTGTTTGAGGTAGGAAATGAGCTGATGTGCCATGTGCAAGGCTGGTCCTTGCCATAGGATTTCCTATCCCGTTGGGCTGCTCCTTAGCTCAATCTGGCGCAGGTCTGGGTGGCTGTGAGTGCTCAGAGCAGTGGTTCAGGCTCTTTTCTTCTCTCCAACCAAACTGGAGTTGAATTGCGCTGTGCTGTGCTGTCTGCTGCTCACAGGCATTGCAAAATGGAGATGTAGGCAACAGGGAACACAGTGCTGCTTACAGTGCTGTGTGTAAGAAGGGGCTTCATTCAGAGCCTGTGTTTTCTGCCTAGAAATCACCTGTATCCTTCTCCAGAAGGGAAGGCTGGTGCCTCTGTGGGTAACTTGCCTTGTTCCTTTGGTTTAAACAGACTTTCAAGCCCTTTTTGAGAGCAGCAGCTTCTGTCATCCCCTGGATTCAAGAGGCTTGTTTAAAGCAGCTGCTGTTCCTGCAGTAGCCTCTGGGGAGACCAGCTCAGCTGCTCCGAGAGGAGCTGTTCTCAGGCCCTTGCACCTCCTGAGCCTGGAGGAGGGAAATATTATCCAAAGCCTCCCACAGAAATAGCAGTGACACGGGGGGAGCATGTGGAGAGGCACTGAAATGGGATGTTGGGGAGGAAAAAGTGATGGTTGGTCTCAAACGCTGTGCCTGTGGGACTGCTGGGATGGTGCTGAGTTCAGGGGGAGGAAGTTCACACCCTTTGCTGATCACATTAACAGTGCTTTCTGATTTCCACTGATACTCAAACCGTGGCTGGTGCTTGGCCAGCAGCTTGGGAACGTGGTGCTGAGGCTGCTCTGCATGAGGAGGTGCTTGAGACCTGCAGCCCTGCAGATGGAGGCCCATGAGCTGCAGAGGCACCAGAGCTCCTCCAGCCCCTCTGCAGCCAACCTCTGGTTCTGGTTGCGCTTTTGAACCCTGGGCTGGGAGGCTGAGGTCTCAGGAGCACTTTGTGTGCTCTCACCCTTGGGTGAGGCTTTTCCTCTTGGTGATGCTGCTTCATACAATGAGTGCCTCGAACATGAATCACTGCAGCACAGCAGCATGGGGCTGCTGCAGTTCCTTCTCCAGGATGATGCTCTTTATCTCGCAGTCATAGTCAGCGTTGGAAAGGAGCTTAAGATCATCTAAGGCACTTGTGGTGATTGTCCGCCAGCGATAGGACAAGGGGTGATGGGTTCAAACTGACATGGGAGATTGAGATGAGCTCTTAGGCAGAAGCTCTTCCCTGTGAGGGTGCTGAGGCGCTGGCACAGGGTGCCCAGAGAAGCTGTGGCTGCCCCATCCCTGGCAGTGTTCAAGGCCAGGTTGGACACAGGGGCTTGGAGCAAGCTGCTCTAGTGGAAGGGGTCCCTGCCCGTGCAGGGGTTGGAGCTTCAAGGTCCCTTCCAACCCAAACCAGGCTGGGACTGATTCTGTGATTATTACATTAATGGGGGAGGTGAGAACAGGCCAGTGAATGGGCAGAAGTGATCACTTGTTCTTAAGACTCCAGCACAGTCTCTAAAGCAGTAAATGTGATTATTCTCAGCCATGTTTCTCATCGCTCCAGACTCCAGTGTCCTGGCATGATGTGGAAGTGGGGAAAGCCAACTCCAGTGCTCACAAGCGTTCTGCTTCTTGGGGTAGCACAGACCACCGCAGAGAGGTAAACTACACCCCTCCCAACGCTTGAGCAAGGTCTGTGCTAGTTCCTAATGTACAGGAGGCTGCTGCTGGCACGGGAGCGGAGTGGGAGGCCAGGAGACTACTGAAGATGAGACCTTAGCCCTTATTCTCATCCCTAACGCTCTGTGATCCAACTAAAGACTGATCTTGGTGGCTTCTTCTAGCAGGCACCTATTGTAAAGCAGCTCCACTGCAGCTCAGTGCATTGCTGGTCAGTGTAGTGGTGTCTGTGGGTTCCAGGTGGTTCCCAGCTTGCTGTAGGTGGAGGAAAATCCAGATCCTCTGGAGGAATGGTGCTGGGCATGCTGCAGCAGGGCAGGCTGTGATGAGGCCTTTTGGGGGGTTCTGCTCCATCCTTCTTGAGGAGGCCAAAGCTGCTCCTTGTGATTGAAGCCATCTCAATCCTTGTGGGTTGGAAGAGAGGGGGAGGAGAGAGACTGGGCCTGATCCTGTTGGGGGGGGGCTGTTGGCTTGCCTGGTTCTAGCTCAAGCTCTGTTTGCCAGATTGCCAAACTGAAGCAGCAGCTCCAGAGAACAAAGCTCCACAGCAGAAGTGGCAGAGAAAAGGAGAAGAGCTCCCCCGTACAGGGGGACCACGCTGTCCTCCCATCCCTCCGGGTATGTTCCTGCCTCCCCTATCTGCCATCACCACATGTCCCAGGGCAGGTGTCCAAGCTGTTCCTGTGCCTCAGGGGACCCCGTTTCTTTGCTCGTCTCTCCCACCTCACCGTGTGCCTGTGCTTTGATCTGCAGTTACTGACATGTCTTGACTCTGCCATCAGGCTTCTGTCAGCCTGAGCCTTGGGAACTGCTGTGGGAGCAGGATGAGGTTGTGCAGATACAGCGGTGAACTCCTTTGTCTCTGGGCTGTGTTACAGGACTCTCCTTCAGGCTTCCCTTCTCCATCTCCCATTTTGAGGCTCAGCCCCTGCTTGCACAGGAGCCTGGAAGGCCTAAACCAGGAACTGGAGGAGGCGTTTGTGAAGGAGCAGGGAGAGGAGGAGCTGCTGCGAGTAAGTGAAGCTCCCAGGGCTGCCCTGGGCCCTCTGGGTGCTCTTGGAAATCCCTTCCTCTAAAGGCACCTCCTGTATCTGCAGCTTGGCCACGGGGACAGTCTCTGTGCCTGGTTTCAGTCTGTCCTAGGCATGTAACGGTCTAAATTGGGTCAAGTGACTGCTCCTTCCCTCCTTAAACCTCGCTGGTGCTGTGAGATCAGCCAGTAGCAATCTCAGGGTGGCTGATGCCTCACCGACAGCTTTAAGACACTCAGACTGGTGTCCAGAGGCTCCTCTGCACTGGGCAGATGTGGGAGAAGTGGCTCCAGATGGCTTGGAACTGAAGTGTGTTACAGGATCCAGAAGGACCCATGTCCTTGGAGCAGAGGCTCTGCCTGTAGCTGGATCCAGCACCCCAAGCAGCTGCTCTCTGTAGCTGAAGCTGCTCTTAAACCCCTTCCCTGGTGCCAAGGGGCTTTCTTCCTCCTCTGAGACTTTGCTTCCTCCCTAGATCCTGGATGTCCCAGATGGGCACAGGGCACCAGTGCCTGCCCAGAGAGGCTCTGGAGCTGCGTCCCTGGTGCTGGAGCCTGGCAGTGGCAGCTGGAGCAGCCTCTCCCCTTCCCCTTCTGTGCCTCTGCACCTCTCCCCACGCCCCCCAGGGAGGCTGACAATGGAAGAGCCCTCCTGTGCAGTGGATGAGGTGCAGCCAGAGCCCAAAGAGAAAGGTAAGAACCTGGAGCAGAGGGGTTGGGAGCTCGGGGGACAGAGGGGGGCAGTGTCTCATCCCTGTCTGTGTGCTGGCTTGGAGGCTGCAGCAGGGATGGGAGAGAGGGTCTCGGTCATGGCTAAGTTGTGATGGGTGGCTTCCAGCAGTAGATGGAGGACGTGAGCTGGGAATGACACAGGAAAGGTTGGGGATTTGAGCACTGCAGCCTCCAGCCCCGGGTCTGAAGGAACGCGGTGAGGTTGGAGCACTGTTGGTTTCTTTTAAACATTGCTCCAAATGTGCCTTTTTTTCCCCATCAGAGGAGGGCAGCCGCTCCCCGGTGCTGGCCTTTGCGTCCTCCCCTCGCCCCAACCACAGCTACGTGTTCAAACGGGAGCCTCCGGAGGGATGTGAGAGGATCCGGGCCTTTGAAGAAGCTTCGTAAGTACCAAGAGGCTGCTGGGATGGGGGAGCTGAGGGTCTGCTGCTACAATCACCCTCCCTCAAAGCAGGGAGCAGCCACTGGGGAAGCATTCCTGAGCAAACTGGGGCTGCTCCGGGCCTGGTGTGGAGCAGGAAGCTGGAATGCTGACCCTCAGAAGGGTCTGGTGGTCCCATCCCTTCCCAGGCAGTGGGTGTTGGTCAGCAGAGCCCTTGCGGAGCAGCAGCAGTTGTAGAAGTCAGCCCTCAACAGACCATGCTCCTCGTGCTGCTCTGTACCTGAGGGGGCTCGGCTCCCACTCAGGCCCTCTGAAGGGTGCTGCCGCTCCAGGTGTTCTCGCTGTGGCTGCTCCATGCTCCTGGGAGCAGCCATCCCCAGTGCCATCCCCTCTGTCTCTCTCCAGCTCCCCCAGCCCTGAGCAGCCTTTCCAGCCCTCCTGCCCAGACAAGAACAAGGTGCATTTCAACCCCACCGGCTCTGCCTTCTGCCCCGTCAGCCTGGTGAAGCCGCTCTTCCCAAACGTGGGCTTCCTCTTCAGGAGCTTCCCAGCTTCCTCCGTCCCCGTCCCAGGCACGTTGACATCCTGCCAGCCCCCGGCCCCGTTCCTCGCGGTGCGGAAGGACGCTGTGGGCGGCAGCTTCAGCGACGTGGCCACGGCTCCTGCCCTGAGCTATGAACCCTGGAAGCGTGGTCAGGCCGAGGAGAGCGTCGTCTTCCACAGCTCCCTGGTGGTGTGAATCCTCTGGGAGCGCAGCTCTTCCAGCTTCTGGAGATTGGTGCCTTGAGGGTGGGATGTGACAGCCACGAGGCAGCCCTGGGACTGCGCCCCACAGCAGGGTGATAGAACTGTGAAGCACGGAGTGCCATGGGATTCCTGGCTGCTGGAGAGGCTCCTTTCCCTGAGCCTTCCCTCTTCAGAGCACTTTCCTGTGCTCAGTTGTCCTTGTTTCCTGTGTGATTGTGCTGGTGCAGAGGAGCAGAGGCGAAGTTGGGCTCTGAGAGGATTCGGGTGGGGATTGCTGAGCCCTGGGGGGAAGAAGGGGCCTGTGGGCCCCTGCTCTCGGCTGCATCTCGTCTCCCCCAGCACCGGCTCCCTCGATACCTTGGACCCCCCAGACAAGCCGGAAGCTTCGGCAGCTTTTTGTCTGTGCTCCGCGAGCTGGTGTGAGCCAGTGGAAGGAGCCAGCTGGGGCTGTTGGGTTTCCCTGCGCCTGAGCAAAGGTTTTCCAGGTGCCTTGGCAGGAAGAGGGGATGGAGGCAGAAAAGTTCCCTGCTCCAGGGGTGCCGCTGCTGGGGGGTGGCCCATGGCAGCAGGGCTGCTCAGACCCTTTGGAACCACGCGTGTGGGCGCTGGGGATGAGCGGGGCCGCCTCTGCCTGTATCTCATGTCAGACGTTTCCAAAGACACTATTTTTGCAGCTCCTTGAAGTCTATTTCGGGTTTGTGTTTGTAGAGCTTAACGGCGGGGGCAGAGATCGAAATAAACACTTGAGGCATTAAAACCCCTCTGTGCCGCTTCCCTCCGTTACCAGCGGAGCCCGGGGCCGCCGGGTGGGGCGGGCATTAGGACCGCGGAGGAAGAGGCAGCAACCCTCGTTGCGCATGCGTACGCTCTGTCAGAGTCGCACCGCCCGCAACGGCTCCGTTAGTTCCGCCCACTGGCTCACAGCCAATCCTCGCGCGCCACATCGTGTTACGTCACGCGAGGGCCGCACTCAGAGAAGGCCCCAAGCCCGGGGCTGTCCCCGGCGCCGCCTGCCCCGAGGGGTGCCCGGCGGAGGGGTGCGCGGCCGAGCCGCGGTCCCGGGCAGGCCCCGGCAGGCCCCGGCCTGTCCCTTCCGCCCGGCCCCGCCCGGCCCCGGCGCCGCCCGCTCCCCTCTCTGCCCCGCGGCGGGCCCGGCAGTGCTGCGGGCAGGCGCGGGCGGGTCCTGCGGCGCGGGCGGGCGCGGGCCGGGCGTATGAGGCCGGCGGCTCCGGGCGGGCTGCGCGATGCGGTCCTGGACGTGGCGCCGGCGCTGAGCGGCCCCGCGGCGGAGATGGGCGCGGGAGCGGCCCTGGCCCTGCCGGAGCGGCTCCGCCTCCCCGTCTGCTGCCTCGGCGTCTTCGCCTGCTACTTCTACTACGGCATCCTGCAGGAGAGCATGTGAGCGGGGAGGGGGCCGGGGCTGCGCCCGGCCCGGCGCCGCCTGACGCCTGTTCCGCTCTTGCAGCACGCGCGGCCGGTACGGGGAGGGCGCGAAGCAGGAGAGGTTCCGGTTCGCGCTGACGCTCGTGTTCATCCAGTGCGTGGTGAACGCGGCCTTCGCCAAGCTCCGTGAGTGGGGCCCGGGGGTGCTCGTAACGGGTGAGGGGCCGCTCATGGGGGCCTGCGGGGACGGGGCAAGGGGAACGGCTCCAGCCGGATACAGGGGAGGCTGAGCTGAGCTCTCAGGCAGAAGCTCTTCCCTGTGAGGGTGCTGAGGCGCTGGCACAGGGTGCCCAGAGAAGCTGTGGCTGCCCCATCCCTGGCAGTGTTCAAGGCCAGGTTGGACACAGGGGCTTGGAGCAAGCTGCTCCAGTGGAAGGTGTCCCTGCCAGTGGCAGGGGTTGGAGCTGGAAGAGCTTTGAGGTCCCTTCAACCCAAACCAGTCCGGGGTTCCCTGAGGTGTTTCCTGGTGTTTCTCTCACCCCCCCTCTCCGCCCCCCCGCAGTGATCTATGTATTCGACGCTGTCAAAGTGGATCGCACCCGCAGCTGGCTCTACGCCGCCTGCTCCCTCTCCTACCTGGGCGCAATGGTGTCCAGCAACTCGGCTCTGCAGTTCGTCAGTTACCCCACACAGGTGCGGCGCGGGGCCATCGGGGGGTTCTGGGCCGGGCTCGCTGTGTTTCAGTCAGCAGAGACCTGGAGAGCTCAGACAGGGAAAGCAGCCCCTGGAAACGGTGGGAATTTGCTGCTGGAGGGCTCGAGGTGGTGCCTGGCACCGCTCATGCAGCAGTGGCTCCGTGGGGAGGGGGGGGGGGGGTGATGCCTCTTTGAAGCACCTTGTGTGTTCTGTAGGGGTGCATCCTGTGCAGTCACCTTCCTGCTGCCCCCATCTCCAGAGGATGCTCTGCGGGTGTTTGACCCTGTCCTTCTTTCACAGGTCCTTGGCAAATCTTGTAAGCCCATTCCAGGTAAAGAAGCTTCACATTTCAATTTGTACACTCGGGGGCAGGGGGGGGGGGGCTCTGGTACCCTTATGGTACCCTTAACCAGGACCTCACCCACCAAAACAGCTCCTCCCTTCCTCATAGCTCCAGCACGGGCAGAGCAGACCCTGCTTTAGCTGTGGGTTGGGCTCCCCTGCGAGGGCTGGGCAGCACCTTGTGACCTCTCCTCTTTCCAGTCATGCTTTTAGGAGTGACTTTGCTGCGGAAGAGGTACCCCCCAGCCAAGTACTTCTGCGTCCTCCTGATTGTGGCCGGCGTCGCCCTCTTCCTGTACAAGCCAAAGAGGGCGGCTGGGAGCGAGGAGCATGTCTTTGGCTACGGAGAGCTCCTCCTGGTGAGTCCACAGCAGGGCTGAGAAGGAGCAGGCACAGCACAGATAAGGCCGTGTCCTTTGGACCTCGAGCACGTCCATGAGGTGATGTGGAAACGCGTCTGCAGGAGGACACTGGGGTTGAGGGGAGTGCTCCAGAGCCATGGAATGAGATCAGGGCGAGAGCATTTGCACCCCTCCTGGCCTCTGGTTTGAGGCCACGCGTTGCTGTTCAGTGGGTGATTGGGATGTAAAAGCTGGGCAATGGTCAAGGTTTTCCTCCTGGAGAAGGGATAAAGAGGGAGGGTTCCTTCGCTGCCTCTTATCTTCCCTCAGCTGCTGTCACTGACCCTGGACGGGCTCACTGGAGTGTCTCAGGACCACATGAGAGCTCACTACCAGACGGGTTCCAACCACATGATGCTGAACGTTAACCTCTGGTCTACCTTGTTCCTGGGGGCTGGTAAGGAGCGCGCTGCAGAATCCTCCTCGCCCAGAGCCTGCCCAGCGGCAGCGGCCGAGCTCCAGCAGCGGGGCTGGAACCCCCTTTACGAAGCCCTTCACGAAGCACTTGGGGTTGGTTGGGTTGGCTGCGGAGCCTGGGCTGTTCCGTGCAGCTCTGCTCATAGCCACCAGAGGGCATCGCCCCCTGCAGAGCGCAGCGGTCCAGCGCTGGCTCCACCTCGGTTCCTACCCCATTGCCGAGCAGAGAAGCGGCATCAGTGCAGCTTCCAGCCCCACACAGGGAGGAGCAGCTCCTGGGGGCACTGCTGGAGCTGCTCTGGGAGAGCTGAATGTGCGCTTCAGTGATGGCTTCATTCAGGAGCCAAGGATGTGGTGGCTTTTTCTTCACTGTGTTGGGATTTAGTCCTCACCATCAGTAGCTCCTGTTGTGCACCACGGGGGCCGTGGCTCCTGGGGCTGCCTCTGGGCTCAGGATTCTGGCTTCTCAGGTTGGATCTTTGTTCCAGGCATTCTGTTCACTGGGGAGCTCTGGGAGTTCCTGAGCTTCACAGAGCGATTTCCCAGCGTCATTTACAACATCCTGCTCTTTGGCCTCACCAGTGCTCTGGGTCAGGTAAATTCACCTCCCTTGGGCCCCAGGCTTCATGGGGATGGAACCCCCCTGTGTGCTGGGCTGCACCCCCAGAGCCTGAGCAGCAGGTGAGGGAGGGGATCCTGCCCCTCTGCTGCGCAGGGCTTGGGGCTGGATGAGCTTTAAGGTCCCTTCCAACCCAAGCCAGGCTGGGATTCTCTGTGTTTGCCCAGCTGGGAGATGGGCAGGAAGGGCTGCCTCCCGTTCGGATGCTGTGGGTAGTGCTCGTGTTCTGTCCTGGCTCCTTCAGTGTGAAACCAGTTTGAGTTTGTACCCAAATAATCAAGATTTGAAATAAGACTCAGCTCTGGCTCAGTGGTTCTCACCTGAAAGCATGATCTCTGTTGTACTTTCCCTGCTCCCATTGACAACAGGCATCTCTCTGCCTCTTACAGAGCTTCATTTTCATGACCGTGGTGTACTTCGGCCCTCTGACATGTTCCATCATCACCACAACCCGCAAGTTCTTCACCATCTTAGCATCCGTCATCCTCTTTGCCAACCCCATCAGCTCCATGCAGTGGGTGGGGACGGTCCTCGTGTTCTTGGGTAAGTCTGGAGAGCAAAGCCCTGACCTGAGCTGAAAGCGATGGGGTGCAGTGAGGGCAGAGCCAACAGAGGACGCTGGTCTAAAGCAGAGCTGGGTGTATGAGAAGCTGCTTGGTGGAGGGTCCGTGGGACCTACAGGGATGCTGGGGAGGGACCTTCATCAGGGACTGCAGTGACAGCACAAGGGGTAATGAACCAGGGGAAGTTCAGGTTAGATCTAAGGCAGAAGCTCTTCCCTGTGAGGGTGCTGAGGTGCTGGCACAGGGTGCCCAGAGAAGCTGTGGCTGCCCCATCCCTGGCAGTGTTCAAGGCCAGGTTGGACACAGGGGCTTGGAGCAAGCTGCTCTAGTGGAAGGGGTCCCTGCCCGTGGCAGGGGTTGGAGCTGGAGGATCTCAAGGTCCTTGCATCCCAAACCATTCCATGGTTCAGGGGTTGTTTTCTCTTCTTTGCAGGCCTCGGACTTGATGCCAGGTTTGGGAAGGGAGTGAAGAAGACGTCGCATTGAGGAGAGGGCGATCTCTGCCCTTGGGGTGGACTTTTAATTTATTGTCTTGTACCTCAGAGTCGGTTCTGCCCCGGGCTCAGGACGGGAGCCAGGAGGAGCTTGGCTCTGGCTCCTGTTCGGGTTCGTGATTCAGAATTGTCCTCCGAGTGTAACAGTTCCGTTCTGGTTGTGGTTGAGCTGCCTTTGTTCTGTCTCTGTAATCGAAGCTGCGCCCCCAGCTCCCCGCAGCAGGATGCAGTCCTTGCCTTAACAGGGAAAACCCCGCCTCCATATCTTTATTAAAGAAAAAGAGACCGTGGCCACCTCTCCCGAGCCTT